GCTAGACCCGTTCATGTTTTGGAGGATCCGAGTGAAGGTTGATATACGTAGGTCTAGGACCTACATATGTCGTGTGGTAAAGAAACCCCAGCTAGGCCTAATTGATTCAAATCGCCGTGCTCCTCGGTTATGGAGACTCGATCCTCCGACCACTCATCGTAGTTAATCAATGAAACATGATTACTTATGGTTATGAGATGAGATAAGATGAGACTAGATGAGCTGATTAAAGAAGTGATTGATTTAGACCAGGTGCAAAATGGATACCAATAATGACCTAATACAAAGCTAAAATATCGAAAGTAAGGATCCACTTGTAGTAAGCTTTTATGCAAAATTTACTCTTGCTTTAAACTTTCCTTTAAGCCTGCATAACCTTGAAGTCTTTTCTTTAGTCGAGTAAGACTTATTTAATACCCTTAAGTACTCAGGGTTTGTTAAGTAGTCGGGTAAGACAATCTAGGGTCCCAAAAACTAGTTTGTAGGCGTTGAAATTTAAAAATCACAAATTTGAACCATCCAAACTTTCTCAAATGGAAAGTTGACCAAAACAACAATTGTAGATCTTTTTGAGTTTAACAAACTTGGTATTCAAAACTTTTCAATTTGAAGTCATTTAGAGTTCATAATACTAGAGTTAAAGTGTTGTTTTTTCATTTGACCAAATTTGACTTGGTCAAACTTGCTCAAATGAGACACTAAATGACCTCAGATGAAAAAACTCTGAATACCAAGTTTGATCATCTCAGCAAGATCTACAATTGTTACATAGCTCATTTTCCCATTTGAGAGATTTTTATCAAACACTAGTCACAACTTCTTAAATCTCATATAGACTTTCTAAAACTATGTCACACACTTGTGAAATTTAAACTACATTTTATTCAACCTTTCTCAAATGAAAAAATGGCCTATATAAGGATTGTACATATTGATGAGCTTAACAAACTTGGTATTCAAAACTTTTTAATTTGACACAATCTAGGGTCCCGAAAACTAGTTTGTAGGCGTTGAAATTTAAAAATCACAAATTTGAACCGTCCAAACTTTCTCAAATGGAAAGTTGACCAAAACAACAATTGTAGATATTTTTGAGTTTAACAAACTTGGTATTCAAAACTTTTCAATTTGAAGTCATTTAGAGTTCATAATACTAGAGTCAAAGTGTTATTTTTTTATTTGACCAAATTTGACTTGGTCAAACTTGCTCAAATGAGACATTAAATGACCTCAGATGAAAAAACTCTGAATACCAAGTTTGATAATCTCAGCAAGATCTACAATTGTTACATAGCTCATTTTCCCATTTGAGAGATTTTTATCAAACACTAGTCACAACTTTTTGAATCTCATATAGACTTTCTAAAACTATGTCACACACTTGTGAAATTTGAACTACATTTTGTTCAAGCTTTCTCAAATGAAAAAATGGCCTATATAAGGATTGTAGATATTGATGAGCTTAACAAACTTGGTATTCAAAACTTTTCAATTTGAGACAATCTAGGGTCCCGAAAACTAGTTTGTAGGCGTTGAAATTTAAAAATCACAAATTTGAACCGTCCAAACTTTCTCAAATGGAAAGTTGACCAAAACAAAAATTGTAGATCTTTTTGAGTTTAACAAACTTGGTCAAACTTGCTCAAATGAGACACTAAATGACCTCAGATGAAAAAACAATTGTGAAGTCATAACATATTACATAATATCCGTCTCTAAAACATAATATATTAAACATGCATCGTTGTATCATGCAAGGGCACAATGTTGAATTTCTTCTTGACGTATGACCCTTGGTTATGATCTTGTCATAACCATGGAGTGTCTTCATCATTTAACATGATGCTTGGATCTTTCTTCACTATGAAGGGTGGAATTCGGACATTTCTTTCGTAATCTTCTGACATGTCTGACTTGTCTTCAATTCCCACTATATTTATTTTCCCAGAAAGAACTATGTGGCGCTTTGGCTCATTGATCATTGAGTTGATGTCTTCGTTTTTTCCTCTCTTTGATTTTGTAGACATGTCTTTCACATAGAACACCTGACTCACATCGGACAAAGAAGGATTTAATGGTTCGTCTTTGTACCCAATATTGTTGAGGTCCACTTGTTGTCATTCCATACTCTTTGTCGATTGTTACCCCTCCTCCGGTCAAAGCTTCACCCATTGGCACCGGAACAAAGGGACTTTAAAATTAGGTGCGTAGTCTAGTTCCCATATATCTTCTATGCGGCCATAATATGTTTGTATATTCCCATTTGGATCTGTGTGTCATCTATGCGTAACACCACTATTTTGATTGGTGCTCCTTTTATCTTGGGCAATCGTAAAATGTATTCCCATTTATCTCGTACCCTTGGTACATGAGGATATGCCATGATGGTTGCCTAGCCAATAAATACAGTTGCTCATCAATATTGTCATCGCCTTGACATTCTTTTCGCAACATAAATGACACACACACGGTTGATTAATTAACTAAGCCTGGCTACAACGTAAGCAATCCCAACTATCACTAAATAAACTAAAACTACAATGCACTTCAAGTAATATAATTATTTCGTGATCGTACGCAACTAAAAAGCAGACAAATCATTCTTCCGTTGAATATCAATAAGCTTCTCCTATTTGGCTCACCGACTCATCAAAGAATACCGCTACCTCAAGCGCACCCAAATTCTCGCACGTATGTAGCATAATCTTCCTCCCAGTACCAACCATCGCATCCATTGCCCTCCCACTTGAAATTAAAGCCAAAAAATATTTAGTCAAAAATATTCAAGAAAAAGCAGTCAATTAGCCATAAATAAAAAATGCGTAAGAAACTCACATCGCGATCCGGGCACTTGTAGAAAACACGACCCTTGTTGGGTCCCTGTCTCTTGACTCGGTACTCCATCACAATCTTCTGCTTACACTTGCCGCAGATAATGAGAGGGAGTTCTGGCCTCAGTCGTTTCGCAACCGAACGAGAGGCCGAGGATCCGGTACCAGTTGTCATCTACTTTCTATACTTATTTTTGCAAACTAGTGTAAATTTCATATTTTCTAAAATGATATATTTAACCTAAACTAGTACGGATTTCACATGTTTCAATAAATAACCATCCGTACTAGTTGACCTTGCTTACGTGATCATCTCGCGAGCATTTCTCCACCGGACGGCACCGTACTTGGCCAAGGAAGAGCTCCGATTCTACGAGAAAGGGAACACGGTCTTCCACGACCGTTGCCGCTCTCCCTCGTAGAATCAAAGCTCCTCCTTGACGTCCGTTACCGCTCGGCAGAGAACATGCTCGCCGAGATGAACACGGTCCGCAAGTTCAACTAGTACGGATTTTCTACAATTTTCTAACAATTTTCTAAGTTTTTCATTTCATGGAAAAATTAATTCTAAGATCACGTAAGCCACCGGGGACGAGGATGGCGCGTGCTCCAGCGAGGACGAGCGAGGCGTGATTTTGATGAACTAATTTAACTTTTGTTTATCCAAACATATATGCAAATCATCATGTGATTTTGAGCTAAAAATGACATATAAAATCATAATAAAGTCCAACATATAAAGTTACACATGCATCTACATCGCAAAATAAGATAAGCTACTGACAAAACATAAGAGGATTAAGTTTCTTACCTCCAAAATCGAAGAGCAACACCAATGGAGGGGGAGAGAGCAAGAACAACAGCAAGCTAAAGAACAGAGGCAGTGAGTTTGAATGCAATGGCTCGAGCTCGGGGAGGAAGAAATGAGCTGAATTATAGGTCGGGATAATTAGTCCCGGTTAGGGGTCCAAACCGGGACTAAAGATTAATCTTTATTTCCGGGGCATCACCCAAACCGAGACTAAAAGCTTTAGTCCCGGTTGGTAGTCCCGGTTGGTATTACCAACCGGGACTAAAGGACCTTTAGTCCCGGTTGGTAATACCAGCCGGCACTAAAGATCCCTGCCCCGCGGAGGACCGTTGGGCAGGGACCTTTAGTCCTGATTGGTATTACCAACCGGGACTAAAGGGTCTTTTAGTCTCGGGGGCAAAAAATGTCGAGGCTAATGCCAAATTTAGACATCGTTCTAAAGTCTGTTCTCTAGTAGTGATAGGTGCATGTGGGCCATATAATTAGGGGGTTCTGCCAAATCTCCCTTCTCGAGAGGATCGAGTGCCAGGTATGTAAATGCAGAAACCCATAGCCTGCAAATTAGATGTAGCAACTTGCGGAGCAGACTGAGTAGCCAGGTTCAGCCAAGTCCTCCCTTTTCTCGTGCACGATGGGCTTTGTCGCGGCCTCCCGGGCAACAAGATAGCTGACTCCTGGCTCCCATTGTTTTGGCAGCACCAATTCAGCACCCCGACCGGTAAGGCCATGGCTTGCATGATACTAGTATCATGCAGGACATATATTAAACTTAGGGCCTGCTTATTAGTTTGGTTTAGTTTTTAGCTAGCATCTACTCACTAGTCACTAGGTATTAAATCAATGGCCATATATGATACTAGTAAGTACCATCAGTTAACAACATATTAGAAAGGACATCAAAGTGCGCGAATAAATCCCAAAGCACGTGTGATAATGAAGTAGTAATAGCTAAAACTATACTGTTTATTTGTTGTTATATTTGTGAACCTACAAACTATCCAACATAAAACAATTTCAACACTACTGTTGAGAAAATCCAAATGCGATGTATACCAAACATAAGTAGAATCGTTAAGAAGCGTTACCAAATATACCATTTGTCTGAAAGATACGAGCAAAGCAACGACCAAAAGAGCCAGAACGAAGGTCTAACAATTTCCAGTATATATACGCGTTCGCATGTGTCCTGGAATTATTACAATCACACAAACTTTGTCTCACACATGCAGGCATGTAAATAAGCTGAAATTGTAAGGCAATATAGCCATATAGGTAGCATGGAGGACACGAGAGGTACTGGCTAGGATTGTTGGGTTCAACATTCAACGATAATGACGACTAGGCATTATGACACGCTCTCACATCATCTTCTTCATGGCGAGGAACACGAGTCCAGTGCCACATAGGAATAATGCGAACATAGCTAGCTCTACAGGGATAAACTTTGGGGCAGCGTGGATGTGGTTGGTCATGACGATCACGCAACCTGCAATGAGCCAATAGGGGACCCGCCAGTTCTTCAGGCTTAGGTTCATCTTGGCAGAAACAATGCTGCCGCCGCGGCCGCCTTCAACCTACGTATACACAAACGGTGGAAAAGCAAACATGTCATACTCATAGGTCAAAAAATTGTTCTCATTCCTCACAACATGGAAAATTTTGACCTTAAGGGTGGTGCTTGCCCCATGTGCATCCATCCTTGTACATCCAATGGTGGATGCACGTGTTCTTTTTTTAAAACGAATCAGGCAGTAGAGCTGCTGATTATATTAAAAAGCAGATGAAGCCCAGACTAGGCAAAAGGATGCACGTGGCTAAAATCAACACTCACTAGACCCTCTATCATGGTGGCATATATACATATAGGAAGAGGAAGGGAAGCATAAGATGGGACATTTCAAGTTTGTTTGATCAGTATGTGCATACTACTACGTGTACGTGTTTGACACTCATGCCATCATGATAAACACTACCATCACAAGACTCTAACTAGTTAATAAATTAAGATGCCCAGATGCATTGTGTTATATCAGATGCAACATTCACAATAAAGCATGGCACCACAACAATGTGTGAATTTAGGTGTCTGTTGAAAGATAGATAACAAAGCTACACTTTTACATGCATGATGATTTGAACATGGTCATAAAGACATAGAGGGATAATGGTATGGAATAACGAGTTAATAACATCATCGATATATGTAATCATGTGATGACTTCATTGATGATTGTTGCATTGATATCATGAGATTTAACTATACATCACAGTGGTACGGTGTTCTGATGAGTTATTTGTGCACGGCTAAAACCTAGCCATAAACACCAGAAGTATATATATTGCCGGAAGCTCCAAGTTAGTACTTCGATTTGCCACTTTAATCTAGGTCTTGGTGTACATCCATGCATGCGGTAGGGTTTTTTTGTTTGGGTACAGAGAATACATATTCACAATGCAATAGGTACCACCCGGCTATCCACAGCTGCTATCATTCATGCCTCTATTATTACTATTCTTTCAAATGTTTTGAGCACTTATTATTCATTCTTGACAATGGTTTTAGCTTCAAAGAAAAAACTTTCTCACGAGATCAGATTGATAAATCTAAGTTAATAGCGCATGAAGGATGATTGGAAATCACTTTGCTGAAATTTAGTACGTGCAAAGTCAAGCCTGTGTCTCAACAATCTTTGACCTATGGATCCATAATTGTTGTAATTTGCATTTTAGAATTTACCTTTTTCTCTTCTTTTTTTGTCTCTTGAACTGTTGTTTGTAACTGGTGACTCCTTTTTTGTTTAATTTAATCTCTCTGTAGGGACTTGCGCCCCTCCAGTTTCGTAAAATAGAACATCTAAAACACACAACAAATATATAATTAAGTTGGTAGATGATGCAAAGTAAGCTTGAGTTGCCAAGAGATGGTTTAAGATGATCAAGTTGAATCTAAAAAACAGAGCCAATAATTACCTTATAAAATGGAACCAAAGCATTCTTAAACAACCCATACTATACATGCCTCCATTTCGGATTAGCATCCAAAGAAATTAAATTAGAAAATTTATCTAATACAATTCTATTTTTTCTAAAAAACAATGTAAAATATATAGAATAATGTTTCCCCATGATTGTTCCATATATTGCACACGCGCGCGCGCGCACACACACATATATATTATGTGTGTGTGTGTTTTCCCACACCATATAAGCACTATCAGCAATAGTTAATTAATGACATTGATCTGAGATTTATATAGAAAACAAAGATTGCTACACGAGTATTCAAGAATGCATGGTGTGAAAAAGTAACTAATATTAACCGTTAAAAGTACTACCGGCAGCGAGAGTTCACGAAGAGAAAAGAATGGCCAAATTAATAAACGCTGCGAACATATGCTTGAGTGACCAAAAAAAGGATTCAGTCTCATACATGAACAAAAAATGGTCCAAGTCATGAATTGCATGTTTGCAGACGATTCAGTAACAGTGTTTACAGGACACATCCAAACTAGCTAGTCTTATAAGCTAATCGGTGCATCAATTTATTTTGATTAAATAGATTATTAGGTTACGTTGTCATTTTAAATGCCCCTCGTATGCTTTAATTTGAAGCCTCTTTCTAAAGACATCAGTTTGAAGCAAAGGTACAATGAACATGATTGGAGTTTGTAAACAGTTTGAGGCACAACATTTATGAAACAATTTTATTTTTGATAAATGATTTTGATGGATTGGTAAATGTTTGTAGTAGTGTTAATGATGAAATTTTCTAGATTGAATAGCCAATGACAATAGAAGCATAGGATGATATAGTTGAATAGCAAAGAGTTAATAGGGCAATTATTTGTCATGAGATGCACATAATAAGATGATCATATTTTATCCAGTTTTACAAGAGTGATCTGGGGAAAATAAAAGTATACAGTTATCACTTAGAATAGAACCCAGAAATGAAATTATTCTGATTCCAGAAAATAATATTTTTCCTATTACACACGCTTACATGAAAGATCATCAAATTCAGGCAACACCGCGGTTGAAATTAATTAGTGAACTTGATCTGGGAGGAATCCTAGGAGAAAACTTACATGCAATGGGTTTTGGCATATAAATCCATCCATACATTTCCCCTACAACAATATACTTGTTGCAGATACAAGATCTATCAAAGCGTAGATGGGAGAGAGAGGGAGGAAGAGGGGGTGGAGACAGGAGAGTGTTTTTTTCTTAGGTAACAGTGTTGTGCAATACTTACCGGATTGATGCGCCGATCCACTAGAATCAGTGGATCTTGTTCTTCGCCTCCGGCCATCACCTGAACTGGAGGAAGAGCATCCATGCTGTTCTTAGTCACCTGCTTCTCCATGTCTTTCATGCTCTCCTTCGCCTACGTGCGTGGAACATTAATAAATAGAACAGAAATTAATCTTGTAAAAGGGAAAAACTCATAAGGCATGTGTCTATATAGTTATAAGATGGTCAGTAGTCACCATGCCGATGAGCTTCCTGATGAATCCGCGCTTTTGAATCACGTGCGAAGGTGTCCTTCTGTGATTCCTCTCTTGCCTGGTCTCTCCTAGCTTGTTTTTCGTGCTCTCACTCTGATTGATTATAAGCAGACGCAAATTAGGAAGCAGATCGAGATCTAGTACTTGATCTAGGGTCCAGAGGAAGAGAAAGGGGAGGAAGAGGAGACAGGAAGAGGAAAGCGTGAGGGCAACAGAATTGAAGGCAAGAATTCACCAGATCGATCGAATCGCACAGCTAGCACGGACGACGGGACGAGAGCTGATGGCAGACGATGAGGGGATTTGTGTTAACATGCACGCTGTAAGAACTTAGAAGTTAGTAGTAGCTTGCCATGGGTCAGGAGAACATGGCGGCTAGCTCCTTGCAGTGGACCTGGGGCGGCCGCGGCTTCTGTCTGCTGCGCTTGCGCGGGCAGGGGTAACTAGGCTGGCGCTTGCCGCTGTCTTCGTGATGCCTTCCGCACGCGGTGGCGACGCGGAGGTGTGTCGTCTCGTGGCCTGTCGAGGTCGAGGGTACGTATGTCAGAATTCAGAAATGGAGGAAAAATTGCGCAGAGAAAAAAAAATATTTGAACCGTGGTCGTCGTTTCGGCGGACAACGGACAGAGAGTCAAGTGTTGACTTGGCATCAGCATCACCAGCTTAATTTACGTACTCTGCTGACAATTAACGTACTTGACACCGTAACTTTTATTTACTTTTCAATCAACGGACAGACCTTATCCCAAATTCTCAACTATCTTGTTCTTATCATCCCGGAGCTTACATATGTTCTAGAAGACAAGAGGCGGGCGGGTAGTCATAAAGTCAAAAGTCCAAAAAGCAAGAAGAAGAAACAGAAAAGCAGCACCAGACCAACCAATCGAAATAATAATCATTGCCATCTTTCTCTAAGGGGTCGTTTAGATCCTTTTATTTTGGGAGAATTGGAATCTACTTAATAGACTAGCATACTTCGCTTTGAATTTGTATTCTATAACTTTTCAAAGTTCACATATTAGCCTATCTCAGATTTACAGGATGGGAGATGAAAATTGATTCTATAGATCACCATACCATGTTTTTACTTTGTAACTTATAACACGCTCTTCAACTCACTCTATACAATAGAAATACAACACATAAATATCTCTCTCATATGTCCTATAACAATATACAAATATATTCTATATATAACCATATAAACTTAATTAATCTGTGTCTAAATTATGATTATTAAAGTGAATTCAATTCCAAGGATTCAAACGGGGCCTAAGAGAAAAGCATGCATGCATCGTGTTACATATCTGAAATTATATTTGAACTTCGCTAGCTCAGAGCATATATAGCTCACCAAATTAACATACCAATAATAACAAGAAGAAGAGGAAAAAAATTATACTAATTACATAGTGAAATGGTAAGAAAACGCTCAAGCATATGAACATTGTATGTAAATATGATAATAAGTGGAGAACAGGAGGACATATATAACTGTGAGTGCATGTGACCAAACATGTCGTGGGAGGAGAGCTAGCTCCTATCCTTTGGTTGTCTGTTGGCTCTTAATTAGCCAATGGAAGAGCTTAAGCTACTAGGTCAAAGGGGGTCATATGCATGACCCCTCTTCAATCTTGAACTTACTTCGGAAAACACTTCATCTTCAATTGATTTTGGTTAACAAATAAATTTGAGCACTTCAACTTCAGTTGATTTTGGTTAACAAATAAATTTGAGGCAACATGGCAGGAGAGTACATGCATATATAACACCTCCTAGGAGCTGGGGCTCGAAGCAATGCCATTGGCCATGGATATAAGGACCTCGATCTGCTCCCAGTCCACTGCATGCATAGGCACAACCTGTGACCAGTTAGAATATCTGCACCACTCAACTACCGGAGCTTGCAACATAGCCCCTGGTGGTAGTTGAGTGTTGCTAGTTGGCCTTATTATTTAATTTGTCAGTCGTCGCTAATATATATATATATATATATATATATATATATATATATATATACACACACAGTATGTACATCCTTTTCAAGATTTTGTCTTTGATACAAGAATTTTACTCACAATGTCTTCTTTAGCATCACATACCGGTAAACATGTCCAATATATATATATATATATGACATCACAGTCTGATTTGTGTCTAATTAAAATGTAACAGAGTGCATACAACTTGTTCAAAAAAAAACGTATGTATCTCAAGATCAAGCTCTTTTCCAATGAAATTCATTACTAAGAGTTGGAGGGTGTAGGTAGCATGCTTCATTGAGTTGCAATAACATGACATTTGGTAAGAGAAAACACCAAATTGCTTTAGATCCGATAAAAGAATTGCCCCATCGTTATAACTTTGGTCAAGCTTTAAATCATTTGACTCCTTTAAAAATGAGAATTATATCCTTCTGTGGACGGAGGGAGTACCAATAAATGATGATAATTTTTAATAACTTGCATGCTTCCAAGATTATATTTTGGCAGCAGATCGCATTGCAATCCTGCTCAACTGCCAAGTACTGACCTAAGGTGCTTACTAGCAGGCATGTATATATGGAACCTTAGTTTGCATGCTGAGACATGTTTATTAGCAACCACCTATGGCAAGAGAAAGAATAAGTAGTTCAGCTTGATGTAATCACATCAATTGCCTAGAACTGTTGCGCAAATCCATTTGGATCAGGTCCTTGTGCAATACTGTGGAAGCTGATTTATTTATCAAAGGATCGATCAGGGAAAAAATGGAGTTGCAACTTACAGATAACATTATTCATGTATATGTTGCTCCATGAATGCATCTCGTAAGTTTGAATGCAGCACCTTGTCTATATGATCCCCCCATCATCTGCACAAAAAAGTGCTTGTTTTAGGGGCGCAACAGATACATGAAAAGTCACTTCACTGTAGTCAGCAGTGGAATGATCAGGACTAAAATTTAATCGCGTAGAAAATCTGGACCAATGCGGTGATTATTATATAAAATTTGCAACATTGTTCAATGTGTGACAATTACAAATTAATTACTCATTCCCATTCCTCTCTGTTGCAGTTGCAGTATACTGATCAACATCGATGAGCTTATTGGTTGAGTATTAAAATGGAGGTCACTGGTATGTAAGATAGATACCAAAAGGGGAAAGTCCATGGGCAGCATTTTATTCACAGCGGAATTGGTATTACAATTTACAACGTCAACAAGAAATAATTACAAGCTGGTCGATCATTCGATCGGTAAGTGGCATACTGGCATGGCACATGATCAAACACCAGCCCAACGCCCAAACTCTAGAAATCAGACCAGAAATGAAGAGGAAACACACAGAACCCCTATCCCCTATGCAGCTGCTGCGCATGAGCGGATCTAGCTAGAAGAACAATCCCCTGAGGAATCTCTCCGCACGCGCGGCGGCCCGCCCTGCACCGGCCCCGGCGAGCGTGAGGAGAGCGAGCCAGGCGCCGATTATGAGGACGACGAAGCCCACGAATTTGTGCTCCAGGTTAGCGGCGGGGTTCAGGACCACGGCGTTGATGAACACGCAGCAACCCCAGACAAGGAAGAAGCTCGCGGCCTGCAGGCGGCGGTCCCCGAAGTCGATGAGCCGCTGCAGGGGGCTGCAGAGGCCACCTCCTCCTTCCGCACCCGCGGCTGCGGGCTGGAGTGGACCGTCCTCGTGATCGATGAGCTGCTCCATGGCGCCCAGCAGACTGCCGCCGCCTCCGCCGTCAGTGACGGCGGCGGCCGGGGCGGGGGCTTCCTCGCCGCGGATCTCGTACATCTCCATGGATCTCGCTCGTGGATTTGTGATTTGTGTGGGTGGTGGGTTTAGCGGTTTAGGGTTCCCAAATGCTCCTTGGTGTAGTTTATGTTTCTTCTCTTTTGGAAGTCTGAGGGGGCTATTGCTGTTGTTGCGGTGTGAACTGAACGTTTGTCTTGTTTCTTCGGCTGGACGGTTAGTTATTTTTGGCTTTCTCTTAGGCGGTTGGAGGTATTATTAACAATGGCCTAAGCTTAATGGGCCTCAACAATTACATGGGCGCCCGGTTTCTCTCTCACAGATGGACCTTTTTAACCTTTCAGAAAAACAGGATGGGCCTCTTAAAAACGGGCTGCTCCAGATGTTTGTTGTGCTCGACAGCACGTGGGGCAGCTCCAGATGAACCTGTTCCAATCCCCGTAAAAAAAAAGAGCATGTCTACCCAACAACCATGTGTTTTATACAGTTTCAACATATGAATTTTTTTTGCACCATAGAATTAAGATCCAACAGCCTCCACCCTCCTTCTACCTCCAGCCTCCAGCCTTCTTCTATCTCCAGACAATCACAAATCACAAAATCACAGATCACAAGAAACATTTTTTTTTCTATGGAAGAACAAATCATAGCAGAGGAGGAGGAGGAGAGGCTACTGGAGCCGGATCCGCTATAGACCTAGCTGCACGTTGCGCGGCGTCAGAGAACGCGTGCGTGCATGTGTGCGTCAGAGAACACGTCGCTTCGCTTGGACATAGTGACGGCGTGGGTGGGATCAGAGGACGTGTGCATGCGTTGCGCGGCATCAGCAGAACGGAGGGTAAAAGAGAAAAAAAAATCCATGACATATATGTTGTATAGCATTTCTGTAAATATAAAAAAAAATGGACATATGTTCCGGGTTTCATGTACACCCGTAACGACCCGATGCATGGCCATCGTTTGGCTCAGACTAAGTAAGCCTACATTTGGTAGCAATAGGCGATACGGGTTCAGCAAATCTAAATTGCCAGACATCGATTATTTCTAATGAAAGTCGAATTTAATCTGCAGGCTCGTTGTTCAAATCCCGACGCCCATAGTTAAAATGATGTTATT